GGGAACTGATCCATTGTAGTTATTTCTGCTAACCCCAGTTGTTTTCATTTTCATTTCCTCAATTATTTTCAAGGCCAAATATTTCTTCTATGTGATGTTTCACTTTATACATTTCCTTTTGTGTAAACCATCTGTTCAAAAGTTAGACTGACTTTTTATGGGAAACAGGAGATGGTACTACTTCTTAGTAGCCTACTATGGAGTGCAGGTCTCAAGAGGAAAGGGCAGGCCAGCCATACCTTCAACACAGAAACACACAGACCCCTACCCAAGAAAGGGAAATTCCCCAACCTTTGTGCCTGTTCTCAAACCATAGAATATAGCCAATCATTTGACATGAGCTAGCATTTCCAAAAGCCTTTTCAAGCATGCCTCACAGCACTTGAATAAATCTCACCATCCCCAATTTGCAAAGGAAGGAGCTGAGTCATGGAGGGTTTGGCTCACTGACTCACGGAGAGCCATTAGAAAGAGAACTAGAGGCAGGAGGCAAAGCTCCCAAATTCTTGTCCTCAGCTCAAGGGAAAAGAGGCCACCCTGCCTCTTTATGTGTCCATCCAGAAACAGCAACCAATTGTGACTTCCCCAGCTCCCACAAAAGAGCAATTTGCTGCTTTGCCAACAGTAGGGCCTGAATACACTGTGATGACAGTGTGTTAAACCCAGTGCTTTGCACCAAGTTGACAGCAGCCTGGACAGACTGGCTGGCCATCCCACCCGCAGTCCCCTGCCTGGTGATAAGTCCTCTAACTCAGCTAGACATAGCTTGGGTATGCAAGGGGTGGGGTCAGTAGGTAGGCCATTCCCTCTGTTCTTTTGGAGGAAAAAAATGAAAAACACATTACATATGAATGACATATGTTTATAATCTATGAATCCTAATTTCTGAATCATATATTTGGATTTACTGGCTTTTTAGATGCGTATAGGCTATGCCAACATACCTGCTTAATTTAGTTGGCTCCCAAGATGCTTAGCTTGCTTGTTGCCTGGCATACATGTAGGTTTGAAGGGGTATATTTTTGACACCCAGGAGGCCAGGTGTTTGACAATGAATGGGTATTTTTTTAAAACGTCAAAGACTCTAAAAATCACTTGTTCGTGTTCTGACTTCTGTATTTCATGCCAGCTGAAAGTGAAAAAAGAAAGCAGACCTGCTAGATTCTGAATTGACCCTTTGTGACCAATTGAAAAGCAATTTGGATTTATTTGAAGAATCAGACTGTTGTACCATGAAAGAAAGAAAGAAAGAAAGAAAGAAAGAAAGAAAGAAAGAAAGAAAGAAAGAAAGAAAGAAAGAAAGAAAAGGAGAAAGAAGGAAGGAAAGACATTCTGTTGTCATGGTTTTATTTCATTTTCTGGCTACTAAAATTAACACCTGTATAAAAAAGGAATAATAGATAATAAAAAGAAGACTGAGACTTTAGACACAGATGTGTGCTTGCTCTCTTGTAAACTCACTGCAAAGTGTATACAATGGGTGTTTGGGGAATGGAACTATTTCTTTAAAGATAAAATGGGGTATGGAGGAAGAGCATGAGAAGAAGATTACCACTAAATAGGGAAGAGAGGTGGGAAGGAAAAGGAGGGAGAAGGGGATTTGCACGGAAGATGGAAGGAGACCCTCATCATTATACACAATACATGTATGATGTTGTGAGGAGAAAAAAAAAAGAAGTGTGCACATTAGATTGGGTAGAGAGAAGTGATAGGAGGGGAGGGGAGGGGAAGGGGGGATAGGAAGGACAGCAGAATAAAATAGACATAATTATTGCTGTATGTATATGGGTGACTGTATGACCAATGTGATTCTGCAACCTGTACAATCAGAAAAATAAGAAATTATACCCCATTTGATTCAAATGTATGAATTGTCAAGATCATTGTACTGTCATGTGTAACTAATAAAAAATAAATAAAAAATAAAAAGACTCCACCTTCTGAGTATTGTAATCATTCCAAGCAAATAGATAAAGCAGCATTCACTCTTGACCTCCTCTGCAGCTGGAGGCAGAGAACCACATAGGGTACCCGTCCTCCTAAGGTCTAAAAGCAGCACTTCCTCCCATCTGCTGCCCTGCTCCTAACAGGCAGATTGTGCATTTGCTGCTGGCAAATACCCAAACTCTACCTTGACAGGAATTCTAGGAGCTTGATTTCCCAAGTGTAATTAAGCTCCCAAAAAACTAGGCCTTGTATGTACTCTATGTCCAGAGGACAGGAACATAGGTGGCATCTTGTTTCCTGTGACACCGGGGCTACTCATGGGTAGCTTGGGCTGCTACTTCCTTCAGGTTAGACAGCCTCTAACCCAGGAGACATTAATTCAACCCTCATTAACTGCCGGCCAAGGTATTCCAGGTTCAATTGGGGATAGAGGCATGAATAAAAATGACAAGCTCTTTGCCCTGGTGCAGTTCGTTCTCTAAAGGGAAGTCTAACAATCAACAATAAATAATCAATGGATGTGTCCTTTGCAAACACTGTGAAGGGGCTTGGTGAAGATGAAAGGAATGAGTGATTTGTTTTACTTGGGATGTCAAGGATGCCTCCCTGGGAAATGACAGGTGAGCTCCCTAAGACCAAGAAGGCAGAAGTAACAATACAGGAAAGATCTTCAAGTCAGAATGAAAAGAGGGCAGAATTATTTACAGTCTTGAGATAAGATTCCCAAACTCTTCTGTTCACCTTACCAGGATTGATGCCTAAGAAACGCACTTGTTTTTTTAAGTTAATTGCTGGACAATCAGCCATACCCCTCAGGTCATCTCATCCAACCTTTCATTTAGAGTTAGAGTTCAAAGATTCAGAAAGAGTGATTTTTCCCTAAGTTACATGGCTTCATGTAGGTATTGCAAGGTCATAGCCTCTGAGGAGGTGGCAAATTCTGAAGTAGACTAGTCTTTCTGAAACCTATATATTATAAGCAGAATCCTCCCTAACACAGAAAGAAGACTATGAATTCTCATAAAACATAAGTGCCTAAATTGGCCAGGATTGGCCAGCATTTGCTGCAAAGACAAGTAGCTCCAAATCTAAGTGAATTAAATGCAGGTTTCTTACCAGAAGATAGCAGAAAAGCTCTGTTTATAGTAGTTAAGTCCCCATCTGGAGCACTTCCCAGAGGGAAGGAAGAGATCTGGAAGGTCACACATTAGCAGTGAAAGATTCCAACTCAAAAAAGTGACACATGTAACTTGGCCCACAACTTATTGGCCAGATCTACTTAAATGGCCCCTCTTAACCACAAGGAGGCCAGGATATGCAGGCCACAGATGTACCCAGGAGAGAGAAAGCCAGAAGTATTTGACAACTAGCACATATGACTGCATCATGTTCTATACTCCATAGACTCTGCAAATAATAGAAAAACTTTCCACAGGATCAAGCATCAAGACCTTCATTCTCCATCCTAGAAAAACTGAATCACAACCAGGAATAAAGCAACCAATATGATAAAGAGAGAAGTACCCAATAGGTGATCAATCTCTGTTTTGTCAACAGTAGGAGAGAGGGAAGACGCATGATTGGATGGACAGGGAGAATGCCATACTAAAAGCTGGAAGTCAGTTTCCAGAGCACTCAGAACATTGGGCCCTGGATCTAAGAAGTCCTATCCTGGTAGGAATAGGACCCCTAAAAGATACCTTCATACATAGTGAGTGGGAAGCTTAATGGTATTTTGTAAACAGCTTCAACGATGACGGGCTCCAGCAAAGGTCATAGCTCTGACTCAGAATCTGCCCACCTCAGACCCTCTATAGCCATTTCCCTGTCACCTCTGCACATCCCCTAGAACAAAAAATAATACCAAAATACGACCTGCCACTTACCCACTCTGCTTACCAACTTAGACTGCCTTAGCCACAGGCACATAAAGAATTGCTGCCTGCCAATACATCAGGCACCTGATGCATGGCCTTCATGATCTTGGGCAACCTGGTAATTATTGGAGCATTGCTGCATCCTGTGTAGGATTCTGAAAGTGACATGAACCTCTCCAAAGAAAGCTCACTCTCTCAAATCCAAATACTGAAGAACAGAATTGTCTTCTGTTCTCTTTCACCCCAGCATAAACATGGGTGACAGAGATTTGGTGCTCTGTTTCCAAAAGCCACAGTGAGATGAATTTAAAAATTCAGTCCAAGGATTCACAACTTCAAAGACACCTCACATGAACACCAAGAATGAATGAATTAGTTCTTTTGAAATCTTCAAAATCTGCCCCCCTTTTCCACCTACATCACTCCTTTAGACCTTTCTGTACACAAGCCCTACTGCTAGCAGTAGAAGCATTCCAAACTCACACACAATTAATGGCTACAGAATTCTTCACCATTTTTCCATGGAAATTGCACACACAAAAAAAGCAGGATATCCAAATGGCCTCAGCCTGCTGGCCTCTCTGTATGAAGCACTGGAATCCTTCTTAAGGAAATTCCACCCAGTGACCTTTTCCAGCACATAATTAGTGTGTGAGGTTTTCTTAAGCCATGTGCTAAGATGTTTCTTGTATAAACCCATTGGTGATCTGAAATCCCCTGTGATTACTGGAGATGGCTGTGACACTTCTTGGAGTTCAAAAGCTAAGCAGTCAAATACCGCTGGGCTTTGGAGACACAGGGCTGATAGTGTTTGCCAAAGTAAAATGCTGCCTCATTAGAACTACACACGATTTGCAATTGCTGCCTGTGGAGGCTTTTTAGAGAATTCATATACATTTTCTTCACCTCACTTAAGAAGTTGGAGTTTAGGGCTGTCCCTAACCCTGACCCCCATCTGGCTCCACTTGATCAAGGCTTCTTTTAATCCTATTAAAATGTCACATCTGAGTGATAAACTTTTACATGGGGCCTCACATAACAACCTTCAGGGGAACTTTTCGTGCTGATTTCATGAACTTTTTCCTACTTGAGGCTGAGTTTCTGGTTCTGCCTCTGGCCCATGAGTCTCCATCTCACTCTACCCTTTCTCCTTTCTCCCTCCACTTCTCCCCTTACCAGCTTCATTCCTGGCGCTTGGTCTATGGTTCCACCAGTCCACAGTGCAAAGCAGCTCATTTCTCCCGTCACAGCAGCCAAGAGCATTCATTCACTTCCCTGCCTCGTAAGCAATTTCTTAAGAGTGCTGCTGTCCTCCTGGCAGCCAATAAAAATTCTTCTGGGAAGTGAAACCTTCCCAGGTTAATATGAAAAATTACTTTTTACTAATGTGGAAATGGGTAGCTGTGGGTTACCAGCATTGATCCCATGGTCATCGGCACCTTGAGGATTGCATCTATTATATCTGAAGATGGGCCCTCTGTCAGGTAGTCATCTATTCTTCCTACAGGAACAACTCCTTTAATCCTAACACAGATGCATGAGGGGGCAACTACTATTGTCCTGGCACTCTGGCTGTGAGGGCACCTGAGTTACCTTGTAAGCATCTACAAATCCCAAAAGCTCCTCGGCTTCTGGCTTATCACAATTCTAGGAGCTTTGACATCCTCCCAGGTTCCTTTTGTTTATCTCCTGACCTCCACATCACCGTTTTCACTCCTGGAACTGTGTCCTCCTTCCCTGATCATCTCTATCCTTGCTCAGTCTCTCCAGGCTGCCATAGGGATGGGATCCCTCAGGGTCTGCGGGTGGGGGAAGGACTGACCTGTGTTTGAGCCCAAACTCATGGCCAACCATGAGCAAGATAGTACTAAGTATGGGTGATTTGTTTCTACGCTCTCAACACACTGCCCAGTCTTTGCTATGCTGGCTTATGCTCTGGATAAATCCTGACACTGGATCCCTCATTCAAAGACTTTGTGTAATATTTTATGGCTCGGAGAATTGAGCACAAGTTCTCACCTAGGCTTTCCAAACTCACCCCTACCTTTCCTTTGGTCAAGCCTGGCCTTGATTCTTACTGTGTCTCTCCATAGACCCCACCCCAGCCAAATATAAGCATGATCAGCCCCAGTATAACCACTGACCTTGGGCAAGTTTCTTTATCTCCCAAGACTTCAGGGTCAAACTGCAAATTGCAGGAGATCTCCAAAGTTACTTCCCTGAAACACTCAATTCTCAAATTTGAGGAAATTGAGGTTAATTTAACAGCAACAAGGCTAGGCAGCCAGAACATTATTTTAAACCTTGGTGGGAGCTGATATTTTAGTTTACATCAACTTTCATTTTGTCTGGGGATTAGCCCAGTAGTAGAGCACTTGCCTAGCCTGTGCCTATCCCTGAATTCAATCCCCAGCACAAAATAAATAAATAAAATTGTTTAGCATCACCTTGACCTCTGCTTCGGATGACTGTCTGCCTCCTGTTCCCAAAGTGGTGCCTTCCATGCACAGACCTCTGTGGAATAACGATGTCCTCATGTCCTTCCAGACCATGCCAAAGACTCCTCAGGTTTGGAATTATCCATTAACGAAAACCTACTAAAGCTAAAATAGCAACAAGTGAGAAGACATTTATGAATGAGATTGTTCTCACTGCACCAATAACAGGGAGTGAATCTTTCAACCTCGGACAGGCCTGAAATTCCTTCTTTAAATCTGCAGGTTTCACCACCCAACAGCTTTTATATTCAGTGGGGGAACAGGAAGACACCCCCTGTGGTGGGTGTTAAAATAAACAGACTTGGGCAGCATACCTCTAAGAAGATGCTGAGACAGAGAAGGAATGGCCTTGACAGGTAGTGCCCTTACACACTGCCCTGCTGTGAGGCCAAACTCAGTTTGAAAATTATGGCATGAACATTAAAACTCATTCTACATAAAATCACAATCCTCTTTTCTGATTTTAAAAAATGTGTGCTGCTATCCACTACAGACAAAAAGACAGGAACTGAGAGAAATAAAATATCATGGATGGTACATATGCTATAGGAACTGCCTATATCCTCTTTTTCTAAGTTATCCTTATTCATTGCTCAAAGGCAAATAGATCCTGCCTCACATTTAGCCACTTACAGTGGTTATTTTCCTTCTTGTTTTACTGCTCATTGCTAGAAGTGAAGTTCAAAGGACACATCACCCCCAGAAAGAGACTCTACCTCTGTATTTAGGTGTATATTGCATGCATTTGTTTAGGAAAAAAAGCTCAAATTTCATTAAACACCAATAGGATTCAGAAAGTCAGAGGAAGTCAAGGGCTCACCATTTTATTTTTTTTATTTGTTCTAATTAGTTATACACAATAGTAGAATGCATTTTGACACAACATACATAAATGAAGTATAATGTCCCATTCTTCTGGTTGTACATGACATGAGTTATACAGGTCATGTAATCATATATGCACATAGGGTAATAATGTTTGATTCATTCTACTATCATTCTTACCCCCATGTGTCCTCCCCTCCCTTCACTCCCCTCTGTCTAATTCAAAGTACTTCTGTTCTTCCCTAAGTCCCCCATTGTGAATTAGCATCCATATCAGAGAAAACATTCAGCCTTCAGTTCTTTGGGATTGGCTTATTTCGCTTAGCAAGATATTCTCCAGCTTCATCCATTTACCAGCAAATGCCATAATTTCATTCCTCTTTAAGGCTGAGTAATATTCCACTGTGTATACATACCACAATTTATTTATCCATTCATCTTTTAAGGGTACCTAGGTTGGCTCCATAGTTTAGCTATTGTGAATTGAGCTGCTATAAACATTAATGTGACCGGTCACTATAGTATGCTGATTTTAAGTCCTTTGGGAGTGGGATAACTGGGTCAAATTGTGGTTCCATTCCAAGTTTTCTGAGGCATCTCTTTATTGCTTTCCATAGTGGTTGCACCAATTTGCAGTCCCACCAGCAATGTATGAGGACTCACCATTTTAAGTGAAGGCCCCCCATCCTAATTTTAGGGTAAAAAAATGAATCAAACAGAGTGCACCTAGATGTCTCTACATTCTGCAGATTATTTACACCAGTGAGGCCTCCTAACAGATGTCTACAATTTGTATCCTCAATGCTCAATCATTGTGCTTAAGTTAGCTGGTTTCAATGAAAAGAAATTTATTGAATGCCTACTTGGATCAAGCTGTATTAAGCATTAGTAATGCAGTTTGCATGAATCAGTATAGATGTGTGTTGGTAAAATGTCCCATCCCTCTGAACTCCTAGAGCTCCCCCAGATCCCTCAACTGTAGGATTAATGCTTGCAAAGCAGAGAGCCTGCAGGATCCTACATAGCATAGAAGTCACTGCTGGTGTGGACCCATCAGTCCCAGGGCTCTAGCATCAGTTAGCATTTTAATTATCATCATAATATAATCAAGAGTAAAAGACCTGACCCTTGCCTTCTTTTTTACTTACAGTGTTTATTAATCAGAGAAATTAACAGTGCTATTATGAGAAACACCCCCCCGCAAAAGGGTTAGTTATTTAATAAAATGAAAGTGTCTTTCTTTCTCAAGGTTCCATACAGGCTGGCAGTGCACTTGCCTGGACCCAAGCCTTGTTGTGGCTGACCTTACTTCTGGGACATGACATTCCATCTGCCAGACCCCAGTCAAATGTCCCCAATTGAACTTCAAGGGAGGCTGGGAAATATGATCTCTCCAAGTTTTCACAAAGAATAAAATGATCAGTAAACATATAGCCATCCCTCTCCCTGTCTCTCTGACACACACACACACACACACACACACACACACACACACAGTATAGAGCACATGTCTATCTATTAATCAAATAATTTCATACTAATGTAAAGTTGTATCTGTGACCAGCTTCTCTCCCCTGCTGTTACTAGAGGTCACCTCCACTGTACTAGAGCAGTAGATCCCAAAGATAAGGTGCATCCAAGGCCTGGAAGCTCACTGAAGCCTCAGTGAGGGGTGTCGTCTCAGCCTTGCTGATTTGGTAGGTCTGGGCTGAGGCCTGAGCAAAGACTTCTAAGTGGTTCTCAAGAGATAATGATACCAGGATCACTTCATTGAAGCCGACTTCCAAGCCAATTTTTCTACCTCATCAAAGAGGCCCCGGGCCAGGATGAACTTGCTCTTTCCCCTGCCGGGCACTTCCAAAGCCCTCTGTGCTGTGGTCTCATGGGTTTTGTTTTATCCCTGGGGAATCTGGATTGGGGTGGCGTTGCCATCATCCTGACAGAGGTGAGTGAGCAGGATGCTGGGGCTCTTGAAGCTTGTTACATTTTGCTAACAGCTGCCCTTCACGCCTTTGCTCACTCACTACTCAGTGTCCTTGCCCCACATCAGTTCTTTCCAAAGAACTGGGCAGGACATCTACACTGGCTTTTCTTCCCTTCTTGTGTTCCTTTCTTTTTTTTTTTTTTAAGAGAGAGAGAGAGAAAATTTTTTAATATTTATTTTGTAGTTTTCGGTGGACACAATATCTTTATTTTATTTTTACGTGGTGCTGAGGATCAAACTCAGCGCCCCACGCATGCCAGGCGAGCGCGTTACCTCTTGAGCCACATCCCCAGCCATGTTCCTTTCTTTTCCCTTCTAGTACCAAAACTCTGCTCACAACAAGCCTCACTTCTTCCTACAATATTAACTCTACCCAGCAGGAAACACATACAAACAATTTTATTGTCACCAGGAACTAGCAAATCAAATTTTATCTTAAAGGCTTACTCTTCCATTTCTCCAAAAGTTTTGATTCCTCTGATGTCCATGACCTGCTGTGTCTATTTCACATTCCCATATCTTCTTCTCTGTTTATCTCAGAGACAGCTGATATAGTAGAGTGAAATTTTATTTCAAACCCTATCACTGCCTCTGATAGATATGTAACCATGAGTCTCAATTTTCTCATCTGTAAAATGGGGATAACAAAGATGACCTCACAAAGTGCTTATGATGAGGTGAGATGAATCAGGAGGAAGCCTGAGGCATAAACAAGGCTGAATGCCAGGCTTTGGCCTGGAGTGTTTTTTGCACAGAGATTATTAGTCATTCAAGAAGGGGTTAGTGCTGGCAATGTTGAAATTCCAGCAAACACAGGTCTGATGTACCAGATTCCAGTTCTATCTGTGTAGTCCTGAACAAATTACTTAACGCTCCATAGATCCAAACTATTTCCCACCTGCAAGAAAGAAAACTTAGTTACCGCCTTACTTTCTCCATTGCAAATAGGAAAGAAGAATAAC